TTTACCAAGAAAATAGATTTACCAAGAAAAGGAGCAGGCAAAGTTACCAAGGAAATGAGATAAGACTAAGCAAATGTAACAGGTTTTGGTGTTAACAATTTTCAGTGTGTCACTTTGCAGTGCTGGAAATGTGGAAAGTGTGGGGAATTTTCATTAGAGAGGCAGAATTGTTATGTGGGTGAGACATGACCTCATTCCCCTTGTCATGTAGTTTTGCCTTTGATGTAGATATTTACTCAAACTCTACTGACTTGAACAATATTTGCTCTCAGAAAAATTGACATAACAGTACTATTTAGGTAAAACTTTCCCATTTCATCCGTTGGAGACTTCTAATGTCAGAGAACCTCTGAGATATCCAAAGCCAACAGAATGGCAGAAATGAGAGGGGAATAACTTTTTCCAGTCCTTTTATTATTTTTTTCCTAACTATAATTAACAGATTACCCACTAGCACTACTAATAAAGCCTGTGAAAATAATTTAATATATGCCAACCCCAGACCTGTGCTTGGTTGCTTTTAGAACTATGCAGCAAAACAGCTGTTAAAATCAATATTCTTTGTGAGAAGAGAAGAAAAAGAACAAGGAAGGAAATGGATAACAATAATACAAACAGATTAACATCTGAGATAAGTAAAACTGCTGTTCCATGGTGAAGAAGAAGTATTGTTTTGCCAAACTGCATGATAAACTCAATTTCTGATGCCAGTGATTTAGCCAATTAATCTGACATATAGGTGGAGGCTGAGCATAACTGCTTGATTACTCTAAACTCAGAAGGACTGGGCAGTTTCAACTAGACAATGCATCACACGCACACACACAAATGTGAATTTCTCGAGGTACACCAAGCAACAATAAAAAAAGATCTGGCCTGCTGATGAACTCTCCAGGGATGATGAAACCTAGACAGTCAAGGAGACAATTTTGGAACTGCATTACAATATCTACACTGTTATTATTCCTGAGCTAAATCAGTGACAGTGGGTGTCTTAATATTTCTTGGTGCTTACTTTGTATATCTCTGATGGATAATTCCCAAGGAAGCTCAATTACATAGGAGTTTTAATTGTTCAATTAAGTGTTTGCCCTGCCTAGTCTTCAGGGAGGACATGAGCCAAGGAGAGGTCTAAATGAGGCACTGGCCTCCAATAAAAATTCCTCCTGCCAGATGAAATTTCCCTTCAGTCCCACTACATGGGGAGGGAGTGGGAGACAGGGTACTGCCATCCTGTGTCCCCAGGCTGGCAGAGCCCAGGAAACATGGTATGGCAGTCAAGACAGTTGCAGCTAGTTCCACTTGGAAACTGGCCCAACTGTTTTCACTGCCCCTAAATTGGGTGACAGCATGATTCATTGTTTCCCCTGACTTAGCTTAATCTGGGCAAGGCCATGTTTAGCTGCCATGAGACTGATCCAGTTACACACCAACCTAAGTGGTCAGTGCAAATGAGCCCTCAGTCTTAACAGAGCTGTTAAGAAGGTCAGATTTCTTGCAATGGAAGATATGCACCTGACTGAGCACACTGTGACTTCCACATGCTTTCAGATACAGCATCCATGACACTCAATCAGTAGGGCTTGCCCTTGTGGATGATGGGAGATGTAGCACCAAATTCCTGGAGGGTACCAAACTGTAGAAGGCTGATGCACTTTCACAAAATGTTAGGTTCCATTCCAATGAATTTTCATCATTTCCATACTGGTTTCAAATTACAGACTGAATAGGTCTTATCCAAAATGGTTGAAACCAGAACTATTTTGGAACTTTACTTTAGAATTCCCATATTGTTTTTAGTATTGTAAGCTGCTTAGAGTCTCATTTCAAAGAAGAAAGTGGGATAATAATAATAATAATAATAATAATAATAATAATAATAATAATTTCAATAATAATAATGAGATATCTTGGAGATGGGACTGAAGTCTAAACACAAAATTCATTTATGCACATACGATCTCATCATATTAGCCACCAGGCAAAGCATCCACTTCGCATGACATCTGGGAGGTAAGAGGGAGTAGTGGGGTGAATCTGTTACCCCGCACACAGCTCCCTCTCACCAGAGAAGCCTCCCATATTGAGAGAGAAACATGGTACGACGCTTTCCGTTAAGTTGGAGGAGGAAGCTCCCTTACATCATCTGATGGGCAGAAGGCCCATCAGTCCTCCAACTGGAGTGGAAGTATTGCGGGATGCTTCCAAAGGTAAATGAGATGAAGTAGTTAGTCTGAAGGTAATTTTATCTAGAGACTTTTAATAATTTTATGCATAAAACAAAGTTCGTGTACATTGAACCTTCAGAAAACTAAGTGTGACTATTTCAGCCCATTTCAGATTTTGCTGTATTTCAGATTTCAGAATTCTGGATAAGGGATGCCCACCCTGTCTGGCACCTGTATTTCTCTTTTCCTCATTGCTTCTCCTACAGGAGGGGAGACATTGTGTAGATGTAATTCTTGCTTATTTTCCAGGTCTATCTTTGGTATAAATATTTCTAACAGTCAAGCTGTGAGGGAACTGCATTGGGTCTTATATGAAGAAAGTAAAATAAATTTATTGGAAATGAAATGAAATGTAACAAGCACTTTACCCCCAAAGGGCACAGAATGCTGCACAGAGCAGTCTTGAGCGTTATTAGTAATTTCAGATAGGAAAGCAGTACAGAGGCAAAGGTGGCAATGGGTAATGCTCTAGTGTTGTAAATTCAGTATGGCAAGAAATTCTCCTAATTGCATCTGGGTTTCCTCCCTCGCATAGTCCATTTCCTCTCTTTTTCATCTCACTGATAGTCACCTCAAACAAATTAAACTGAGCTAGTAAGTAGCATCAGAATAAAGTATTAAAACAAAGCTCAATGACTACTGAAGTTAATAAAAGAAAGGAAGCCAGTGTGGTGTAGCAGTCTGAGAGTTTAGAGATCATGGTTCAATTGCCTGCTCAGCCACAGAAACCCACCTCAGACAATTCATACACACTCAGCTCCAGAAAATAGAATGATAGATTCATTTAGGGTCTCTATAAGTTAGAAATGAATTGAAGGCACAACAACAAAATCTTTTCCACCTATATATATATATATGTTTGTACTGGGTTGTTGTAGGTTTTTCGGGCTCTATGGCCATTCGCCTGCATCTATGGTAGGTGTCCTCAGAGGAGAGAATACTTCTAGAACATGGACATACAATAACCCAGTGATTCTGGCCATGAAAGCTTTCAACAATACATATGTTTGCACTGTTTGCCTAACTGCCAGAGGGCTGCTGTTTTGAGGTCTACTGCAGTGCAAGACAAGGTTCATGTTATGGTTCAAAGGACAAATGATGGATAAGTGTAAAAATAAGCTGCAACCTACCCCACCCCCTACTCAAAAAGCGACAGTTTTATGAATGTTTTGTGTTACATTTTAAAAAACCAATTCCACAATGTCACTTCATTTGAAGATACAAGCACTCAAGGGATTGACCGTATATGTTTAAAATAAAGGTGGGCGAGCAACTTTAGCTGAAGTCAGTGCTATTTATGTATACAAAACAGGAACTTAACCTTTACCTTGATGTATTTTAATATAATCATAATATTTATTGAAATGGCCAGATGCAAATGTCAAGATAATGTATTTCCAAAAAATGGATAAAGTCTGAGGGCCGATGCTAGAAACAGAAAATATAATTTTTCACTCCAGGAGAGAGAATTTCTCTGAAGAAGGAAGGGAGGGAGAGAAAGAAGGCATTAATGGGACCCAGAAAAATCCAAAAATAAAAATTACTCAGAAGCAAACATTCCTTATGTGAAGCAAATTTTGACTGAAAACGATAGACTAGGCACCACCATCAAAAAGAGCTAACCTTGGGGGACAGAGGATTACTCTACTTAAAACCTTTCTCTTTGCCCCATCAGGTGTGTTTTTTCTATGCTTAGAACATAGAGAAAGCCCCTGCCCTCGGATATTTGGGTTGGTATAGCAGGCTGGTGCAACACAAGCTGGTTCCTCAGCAACCCTAGTGCCTATATAAATTTTGGAAGATCATTACCAGTATGTTGAGTTGCTCCTGAAAACAAATGTGGTCACTAGTTTATCTCTTAAAGGAGATATGTCATGATCCCATTAAAAAAAACACAACCACATTCTCACAGCACCAGCCTTTCTCGCAGCTCCAATTGCAGCTTCTAAAAGCTCCCTGGAAAGTAAATTGCATCAATCTAGTCTAGATGTGACAAAAGCATGTGTCATCATGGTCAGATTTCATCACCCTCATTTTAGTGTACTCTCAGAGACCAATTAAAACACGACCAGGTCTCTATAGTATTTCTAAAACCTGAAATCCATTTTTAATATCAATCAAGACATTGGGCAGGAAAACAAGGGCAAAGAATGGCTTCATTTATGTCACCTTTGGTTCTTTTTTTTTTTTAGCTCCGCCTTACATTTTAGGAGTTGCGAGACAAACAACATCAATGAATTAATTAATTTTCCTGCCTTTTTAGCACTGCAACAATGAAAGTGCCTTGCAACATTAATCATATTACAGCATCCCCTGAAAGCCGTGTGCTATACTTTAATGAGTAATTTCAAACCTATGATCATAAAAGGAAGTCTTAAGTTGAAAATGTTTAAATATATAACAGAAATGGAAGGTGAAAGGTTTTGTACACAGAAAGAACAGCCAAAAAAGGGGGATGAAATACAAAAATCTAGTGTTTTACAAGTACAAGGATACAGTGTTCTTGTTTTGCTATGTCTTAATAGTGTGTAACTTTCCTGAATCAGTTTATATTTATAGTAATGAGAATTTGAATTGGAATGTAAAATAATTTAATGGACCTATTAAATCAGCTCAGTAGTCTGAGAGCATTTTAAGAGCTGAAAAGCCTCAGTGACTTTAGAAGATGCCATCACATTACCCCAGTCTTGCTGAATATTGTTTCATACAAAGGAATGTCTCCAAATGAGTAACTATTTTGCTATGACACATAACTTCTCCTTGTTTTCTTAGATTATGATGCTGAAAGTGGCCTTCAATCATACCATTATGGATAAATGTGAAGACTCCTGCAATCGAACCCAAACCTCTGAGTTGCAGCCAGAGTGCAATGTCTTCTTAACTGCTGTTCGCTTGGCCTCGCTGAATCAAATCTTGGACCCTTGGGTTTACTTGCTGCTTAGAAAGATCCTCCTGCGAAAGTTTTGCCAGGTAGCAAGTGCCATCTCCTGCTGCTCTCAGGACAGATGGAAAGGACAGCACTTCATGTTGTCAGACAAAATCACACACCCTACTGCATGAAGATGCTTGCATGTCAACAACTTCCTCCAAGAGCTTCGGCTTTTACCAAGGCCAGGGAACATGTGGACTTCTAAATCAGTGGTATCAAGCTTGTGGCCGTCCAGGTGTTTGGCACTTCAGCCCCCAGAATTCATAGTCACTACACAAGCTAGCTTGAGCTTCTGGAGTTGGAAGCCCAACATCTGGACGACCACAAGTTTGACACCTCCATTCTAGATGTACTTGGACTGAAGCTTCCATGTCCACCAGCCAAAATTGCCCATGCTGAAGGATGTTAGGCGTGATACCACAAACAGCTGGAGAGCTATGTGTTCCCCATTTCTTGGCCAGTGGGGTACATCTAATGATGCAACTTCTTTTGTCATCAGAATTGAAAAGAGGACAGCCTCCCTTCCCTACTGCAATCCCTTGTACATCTGAAGAGCTTTCCCTGGAGGACTGGGAAACTCTCTTGAACTTGTTTTCAAGTTATGCTGAGGTTTTGAAGAACTGACACTAGGGAAAGAAGATCCCATGGTATCACTTCTGTAGCACCAGAACAACGTAGGTTTTAGACGACAACTTCTTCTCTACTGTGAACTTGGACATCTGGTGCATGGGAATGTCCCTCTATAAACTAATTTATTTTCATGGTTGGGTAGATTAAAAAGAACTGAAAATGTTTTTAAAAATAGACATCCTATGTCTTTTGAAAGTCACAAATGATAATGCAATTTGTTGTGTTCTCGTGCCAAAAACACTGGGATTTTCCTTTTACATTTGAGAAGAATCTTATTTTTAAAGTAGAAGTTTGATTGTAGATTCAACATGGAGTAATTTTCCTTGCTTTTTCACCCCTCACACATTCATTTACTGAAAAGAAGAAAGGGCATTGTTTCTAATAGTGACAGATGGGATGGGGTTGGAGAAAGGAAACCACAATTGTGTAGATTACTAATTTGGTGGCATTCCTTAAAGTTATTTGGGTAGCAGTAGAACTATGAAATGCAAAGAACTGCCACAATAATTGTGCATTTCTATTCAACACTAAATAAATTTTAATTTCCTTACTTGTTTTATATGTTTATTTCTTTATAGAAGTCATATGCTTATCTCTCCGAGATGTAGTTCTTTTGCAGTGATAACTTGTTATCACAGAAATTAAACCATAACCTTTTGACACTGTGAAAATGAAAACAAAATGGAAAATTGGTCTTCAGTTTGGAAACAATACTAGAGGCAGTTAGTTAATGTTTTTTCTTCTATGCTATTTGAATATGGCACTTATTTACCATAGTGTTTTATTATGCAGTAATATCCATCTTTTATCGAAATATGTTTTTAGTGTACCTTTGATGCTTTCAAAGTTTTACATTTCTGTGTGTATGTGTGCCTGCCTGCTAATTTAAGCTGGATCTACTTTGTCATATCACCCAGTTTCTGAATCGATATTATTTGCTTTGTATTGAATTATATCTGTCTACACTGCCATGTAATCCAGTTCAAACCAAATAATCTGGATTCAAAAACTATATTATGTGGGAGTGTAGATAGGGCCTTAGAGTTTTATAAATTTAGTTTAAGAATCAGTCTACTATAATAATAATAATAATAATAATAATAATAATAATAATCTTTATTTATACCCCGCCACCATCTCCCCAACGGGGACTCGGAGCAGCTTACATGGGGCCAAGCCCAAACAACAAACTACAAAATAAAAATACAAATTGCAGTAAAATAAACAACATAAGATTAAAATGTAAAGCATCAAAACCTGTAAAACAATATACACAGAACATAGGAACCAAACATAATGACAGAGAGCGGGCCGCATGTACATAAAATGATTTAAAAACTCTGAGTGAGATTAGGGAGGAGAACTAATTGTAAGGGAGAACTCACAGAGAGGTAGGAACTTCGTACATGGGTGGGGGGGACTCCTGGGACAAAAACGTTGAGGGAGCACTAGCATAAAATTATGTGGCTACTCTCAGAAAGCACAACGGCAGAGCCAGGTCTTAAGACTCTTTTTAAAGGTTTCTAATGTAGGGGCTTTCCTAATCTTTCCGGGCAATGAATTCCAGAGTTGGGGGGCCACAGAGGAGAAGCTCTCTCCCTTGTACCCACAAGGCAAGTCTGAGAGACTGGCAAGGGTGAAAGGAGGGCCTCGCCCGAAGATCAAAGGGTTTGGGCTGGTTCATGGAGAGAGATACGGTCACAAAGGTAGGCGGGTCCCAAACCATTTAGGGCTTTATAGATAAGAACCTGTACATTGAATTGGGACTGGAAGATAAACGGTAGCCAATGGAGCTCCTTAAACAAGGGCGTTGACCGCTCCCTGTAAGAGGCCCCAGTTATTAGTCTGGCTGCTGACGGTTGGACAAGTTGTAATTTCCGGGCCGTCTTCAAGGGTAGCCCTACATAGAGAGCATTGCAATAGTCCAGTCTAGAGGTAACTAAGGCATGGACCATCATGGTCAAGTCAGACTTCGCGAGGTACGGTCGCAGTTGGCGCACAAGTTTTAGGTGTGCTAAGGTTCTCCTGGCCACCGCCGACACCTGTGCTTCAAGCGTCAGCGCTGAGTCCAGGAGAACCCCCAAACTGCAGACCTGTGGCTTCAGGGGGAGTGCAATCCCGTCCAGCACAGGTTGGCACCCAGTACCCCGGTCAGATGGACGACTGACCTGGAGGACCTCTGTCTTGTCAGGATTGATAGCTTGTTCCTCCTCATCCAGTTCATTGCTGCAGCCAGGCACTGGTCCAGTATCCTCGGGGCTTCCTTGGAGTCTGGTGGAAATGAGTAGTGGAGTTGGGTGTCATCTGCATAGAGATGGCACCGTACTCCAAAACTCCGGATGACCTCTCCCAGCGGTTTCATGTAGATGTTAAAAAGCATGGGGGACAGAATGGATCCATGCAGGACCCCATAGGTCAATGGCCAGGGGTCCGAGCAGGAGTCTCCCGACTGGGAACAACCCTCCAGAAAGGACCGGAGCCACAGGAGAACCGTGCCCCTGAGCCCCATCTCAGCAAGCCTCCCCAGAAGGATACCATGGTCGATGGTATTAAAAGCCGCTGAGATGTCCAAGAGAACCAGCAGGGCCACACTCCCCCTGTCCAGTTCCTGCGGAGGTCATCCACCAAGGTGACCAAAGCTGTCTCGGTACTGTGCCCAGGCCAAAAGCCAGACTGTGAATGATCTAGAAAATCTGTCTTAAAATTACTACTAAAGGGTTAAATTAATAAAGGACAATTTTGTTAAAAATTCATTGATATGAATAAAGTATACACAGACATTAGTGTTCTATAGGGAATCTCCTATGATTCATCCATTACAAACAAGATATTAATCAAATATTAATGAATTTGGATCAGCTAAATTAGTTTTCTTATTATGCAGTTCCCAATTTGCTTCAAGTGCATTTGTTAATTCAGATCAATTCCATTAGGTTCCACTTTCATGCAATTAATTTTTTTTGGTGCTATTAGTAGTTTTTTTATGGTGCGAGTAGTAGTTTTTATTACTACTTCTAGAAGCAATTCATGAAAATACAATGTAGAATTGAATGCACTCCAGGTGCTGCCAGTGGAAGAAATATATGTAGCTAAAGCCTTCCTAGTACATGAGTATTCAAACTTCTGTTCAAAACTAATTAACAAACTATGATGGCCATTCAGTTGAACAGCTATTATAATCAGGATGGTCTTCACACTATTTAATCAAAATTCTCATTTATTGTCATTAGAATTCATGGGTTTGAGTCCTATTCTTTGGAACAGTAGAAAACAATCCTGTTTGATACATTACTGCCCTTGAAAAGTCTGAAGATATTTGGCTATCTTATCTCTCCAACTTCTCTTCAGACTTCCTTTACACATGCCACTTCCTCAAATATTTCTTTTATCATTAGTACTATAACTTTTCTAAATATGTAATTATTACTGCTAGTTTCTACTCTTCCATAGTGATTTGCCATTTTCTCCTCCTTCTGCAAGCCCATTTCAAATCTTAATCTTAATATTTGTTCTGCACATATCTTTATTCTCCTAGACTCGTCCTTCATTTTTTGAAATTGTTTCCCAATTGTCCCTTCAGGATTTAATTTTTGAGAAATCCCCATTCATTGTGGACATCCTTATTTTTCAGCATATCTAATTGTGGAAGTTCACATGATATTTCTTTAAATTTATCAAAATTTGCTTCCGTAAAAGTTCCCAGTGCCTGTCTGAAAGCATTCCTTTCTTCTCCATAAAAAATTCAATGAGGATATGAATGTCTGTCTGTTGAAGGATGCAACTAGTTGACTCCATGGTCTCTCTGATGAGGATTCAAGTCCAAATATTCGAGCCAGGGTTTGCTTTTTCTATTTTCTGGACAATTGCATTCACAGCAAGGCAAGCGAGATTTTAAAAACGGTGGGAATAGACTTTACATTCTCTCAGAGTTTGACTTCCAGCAGATATCAGGATACTAAACTCTCACATCGCAATCATTTTTCTCCTTTTGGAATATTTAGTATTCTGTTCTAGGAAAACACCATGAAAATATTTGAGCTGAACTGAAAGTCTATAAAGGTTCTCGATGAGATTTCCTCTTCCTATATTTTTTACTGAAATTGGTTCAGTCATATAATCACAAAGTTGTAGGAGCTGCAGTGGCACAATGGGTTAAACCCTCATGCCAGCTGAACTGCTGATCTGAAGGTTGGCAGTTCGAATCTCTGAGATGGGGTGAGCTCTCATATGTCAGCTCCAACTTCCCATGCAGGAACATGAGAGAAGCCTCCCACAGAATGGTAAAGCATCCGGGCATCCCTTGGACAGCACCCCTGCAGACAGACAATTCTCTCACACCAAAAGTGACTTGCAGTTTCTCAAGTCACTTCTGACATGAAAAAAATCACATAGTCGATGTGATTAGAAGCTTTTGTCTCCCGTTTCTTACACCTTTTTACATTTAGACAAAATCATCATATATGAGACTTAACAATTTATGTTGAGACTTGGAAAGTCAATTCTCAAAACTGACTAGCCAGCATGATAGCTTACGGGAACTGCATTCTAAAAAAGAAATGCTTTCAAGTTCTGATTTGCTCCTTATCACTGTTTAATAATTACTCCATTGTTTTTATAAAGGAATTCTATGGGATAAGGTGCTGTATAGCAAAGTTTTTCACATATTTTTCGAACAAATTGGGATCTAAATTGGAATTGTAAACGGTCATCTTCTAAATATAATCTCGCCATATTTCTGGCTTGGAAAAATATTTAAAGCATATGCCTGTCATTCAAATAGTTCAGTCTTACTGGAGGGTAAATTCCACTGATTTTAATAGAATTCAGATCTAAGAAGACATGTATAGGTTAGAGAAATTCTTCTCCATGATGCATGAATTTTCTCTAATTTAAAAGGGTTAGTAATGTTGTCAACCACAGATCAGAACATCGAAAAACGTTTTAATTGCAACACGAGGGCAGTGTGGGGAGGCTACATTTAGTTCATGCAATGGAAGGTTTTGCTGCTGTATAAATTGTACTCTTCAAATAAATTTTATTGGACTTTGCATTGAGTGTCTTAACTTACAGCCATTATTGTGAAACTTCAACTCATGTTGGATGTTTTTCAGGAAAAATCATTCTTTACTTTAAATGTCAACAATCCTTCATAATGGGATATATTCATTATGGGAATGATAAATATATGAAGTTTATTCCATAGCTTTTCTTTTTAGATGTCACTCTGAAATTGCTTCAGCAAAAGCTATTAACAGTTATTCCTCATTCTATAAATTATCCTGAAGGGTGAGAAGAAAAGTGAAGAGAAATTGTTATGTATGCACTAGTAACATCTTAAAGTAATAGTGGAACTGTGCCATAAAAGAAAAGCTTTATGTTTAAAAATGTGTACTGTAGGTCTTGAAGGAAGAACTCCTTTAATCCTGTAAATACCAGGGATACGTGTAAATACCAGTGGATAATCCTGTAAATACCATTGGATAAGCTGTCTAGGGCTTCCTGCAGCTAGACTCCCAAACACCTGGAGGGCAACAGCTTGTGCAAGCCTGATCTATAATATAAAATTAACAGCTGTCGTTCTCAACTTTAATGTTAGAAACGAATAGTTTTGTTAGAAACCAGTAGTTAGGGTTGCATTTACTCTTTGTTAGATTGCTTTAATCTCTGTTGTTGAATGAGCTCTCTTGGGCAAGGCTCATCTTAACAAGCAAGCTGTTACTTGCAGCAATCTGTTTCAAGGCAGGAAGCATCACTATTTTTCAACATCTGAGAAATATGCCTTTAGGACTGCCTGAGGTGTGACAGAAGATTTCTACACCACTCTGAGGAGACGAACATCTTGGACTTACTTTGCTGTTGGATGCTGTGTCACAATACTAATTCAACTGACTTCTAAATATGACTTCCAGCTTTTTATTGACTTCTAAGAACAAAGTGTACTAACATAGGATTTTTCTCAGTAGATAAAACAAATGCAGACTTGTGTTTTGTATCATATTATTAGGTGTGATCATGACTATTATTAGGAGTGATCAGAGTACATCTTTACTACCCCCCCCCCCCCCCCCAGCCTCAGTGGCTAGGGTGGATTATACAGGATTAGGCAAGCCTGTAGGTAACAAGGACCCAACCATGTAGACCTTTAAACGTCTAAACCAACACTTCGTACTTTTCGCGGTAATTAATTGMCAACCAATGGAGTGGCTTTAGTATGGGTGTGATGTGCTCCCTCCTAGATGTTTCTGTAACTTATCTGGTTGCTGTGATTTGAAGTACATTACATTTGTGAACTTGGTACAAAAGTAGTCTAATGTAAAGTGCATTGCAAAAGTATAACCTTGCGGTTACCAGCACATGCAATACCATCTTTACGTCCTCCAACTCTAGGAAGGGACGCAGCTAGCATATCAGCCAAAGCTGATATGCACTCCTGACCATTGCATCTATAGAGGGCTCCTGACAGATCCAGGAGCACTCTATCCTGCAGAACCAGTCTTTCAGGGTGAGTGCAATCCCATCCAGAACTGGCTGATACACCTCCATTCCCAAGTTAGAAGCCTAATGGCAAGCACCTCCATCTAGCCTTGATTCAGTTTCAATTTATTCAGAGGAGACATGCAATCCTTAACTAAAGCTGTTTTTGAAGGCATGGAGAAATATATTTGTCTCATCTGTGTACTGATAGCATTCCACCCCATGCCTCCAGATGATCTCTTTTAGTGGTTTCATCTAAATGTTAAAAAGATTGGAGATAGAATGGCACCCTATGAGATGCCTTATAACAGCTTATTTTTGAGGAGTAACTATCTACAAGCAGCACCATCTGGAACCTGTCTCAGAAGTATGATTGGAACTACTGCAACACAGTGCTTCCAAATCCCAACCTCCACCCCAGGTGTTCCAGAAAGATACCATGGTTTATAATATCGAAAACCGCTGAAAGATCTAGAAGCATCAACAGGGACCCACATCCCTTGTTGGTGTTAAGACAGAGATCATCCACTAAGGCAACCATAGCAGTCTCAAATCCATATCCTGCTCTCAAGCTGGTTTGAAGTGGGTCAAGGAAGTGTGTGTCATCCAAGAGTGCCTGGAGTTGGAGGGCAACTTCCCTCTCAATCACCTTTCCCCAAAAAGGAAAGTTGGAGACTTGTCTGTAATTATCAAAGTCCATGAGATACAGGGAGGGCTTTTTCAGCAGTGATCTAACTATTGCTTCTTTTAAGCAAGTTGGAAAGTTCCCCTCCCCGTGAGATGCATTCTTAATATGTTGTATTTGAGATCAAATTGCATTTCTTCCCTGGATGACCAGCCAAGAGGGGCAGTCAATGAGTGTGTTCCCAGTTGATAAAGCCAAATCTTTGGCTAGCTAGGCAACATCTTATTCCCACCAGGGGGTTGGGGGGTGGGGGTGACTTGCAACCAACTAGATGATTCTGGGTATCTCTTTCACTACAGTTGGTGTATCAAAGCCACAACGACCAGTAGTCACACAATGAGCTTGTAAGTATTCTTACTATATGACATATGACACAAAATATAACACCATTTAAATGGAAGAACAATTCTGCTAGCCAGGATCATCTAAACTGCTAGTTCTAGGTTTCTTCTCCTGGCAGAAGCTGATTGTCTTAAGCTCCAGCAGACCCAACTCCTTCAGGCCCACTGGCCTTGCTTTTTATCTGCTGTCTGGATAGTAGATGCTTTCCTTGCTGGATTTGTATGCGGCAGATGCAAACTCAGGCCCCAGTGGGGCCTTTATATCTGCTGTCTATCTCTTCAGTTTGTAGCTGGATGGTCCAAGCAGAGGTTGTCGAGTTCTGCCCAACTGAAAACAGCAATAAGCAGAGGTTGTCGAGTTCTGCCCAACTGAAAACAGGGTAGCAGCTCCACCAGTGTAGTTCTCAGGAAAGCAAAGACCAGCAAAGCTGGATGGTAGTACTTGCTGAGTTTGTATACAGCAGAGGCCCAGTGTTGCTTCAGTACTATGGATATTGTCAGCTCCATTTTTGTGCCTAGTGGTGACCACATTTGACATCTTGAGGGGGCAAGGAAAGGGTCAAGGGTGAGTGGCACTGAACTGATTAAAGCAGGCTCTCTTGGTGTCATGCGGATCCGCTGCCACCCCATTCTCAACTGGCTTCAAGGACATAGAGTATAGCCTCCAGCAGTGCTGCTCTAGATTATGTCACTCCAGATCAGCATCCACCCTAAAACAAACTTAGATCTCATTGATACCAATGTGACATTAATCACAACCAACCTCTTGTAGTTTCTACTGGTACCTAGACATAATCATATTAGTGTTCATCCAATCCACCATGGTCTTATGCCACTTCAATTATTTTTGGTGATGTTGTTTTAAATGCCTGTCTACTGTTAATCGAGAAAAGAAACGATATAACTGACATCAGCTAATCATTGCATACATAAAACTGAGAGATCACAGCAGCAAATTGTCAGCTCTTTAATATATATTATATAATACATAAATTATAGCATTATGTCTAGACTGCATGGATTTTAGATGCTCGTAGATTTAGGGATTCTATTGATAACACCAGATTACTTTACAAATTTAAAGAGCCTTATGATGAATGTATTACCACAGCAAACTGACTCATCAGTGTTAGGAAATTGTTATATAACATTACTTTGACATATAAAAAGGCATCTAGTTTTACAACCATAAATTTAATAGTATCCACATCCTTTCAACATACACCTAAAATATTTTTCTAAGTACTTTCAGAATATTTGCTTTGACTCTTCCTTGGTATCTTAGCATATATTAACACATTGGTCTTCATTTGACGTTTCTTAGAAATGGAATGCTTGTATTATTTTTAAAGCTGTTGCTTAAAAGCAAGATATCAAAATATAAAGGGATAAAATTATATATTGCTAAGAGACAGCAATTCAGCTTTACAAGAGTTCTCATTCACTTAGGCCACATCTCCAATGTTGATATGCCTGGCAATTCACAGGTTTTGACAGGTAAAACTTCTGATTTGGGATTTCTTATTTACTTCTTTTGCGGTATACATCACTTCAGTCTGAGCGCTAATATCTGACAGCAGCCTTTGAATGTTGTCAAAAATGGCAGCATCAAGCTCCTTCATGAATGGTGGGGGAGTACAAACTACAGAAACAGAGTTTTCTTCATACATCTGAATAGTTGCCACTAGAGCTTACAAAAATTATTTATTTTGTCTATACCTCCACAAACTTCCTAATCATCATGGTCTAGGGACACTGTCTTCCATTCAAACAGTGTCATATGAGTTCATTATGTCCAAGCTGTAAGTCATAGATTGCAGCATCTGACATGTTGCAGATAATGGCAACTGATCCTAAAAATCCATAGACATAGTAATTTAGTCATTTAAAACTTCACTTGAGCATTTATAAATACACTTAAAGGTTTCAAAGAAAAGTGAGTAGCAAATGTGCCAAGGGAAAACTAACACAGTAAGTATAAGTGTTCTTGATATAAATAATTCTCCAATGCTAGACATTTGGGGATGCAGTATTCTTATTGAGTTGGGGGAGGTCAATGCTCTCGTTGTTCTTCCTCCCATAGCTATAATTCTGCTGTTCATATTTGCCCAGATTCCACTGAGTTTAATTATATTTGTTCCCAAGAAAATAGGCATAATAATACAACTGGAGCAGAACATTCCCACCTCATTTCTCAGAGAGCCCTGACGTCAGAAAATATCTGAAATATCCAAAACCTGACTGAAGGGCAGAAGTGAGAGAGGAATGACCTTTTCACTCCTTTTCTCCATTCCTAACTATAATTAACAGACTCTCCACCACCAACAACATGAAGCCTATGAAAAGAAATCACATTTCCAAGCCTAGCATAAAATACTGATATCCTTGGGCTACTTTTAAAATAATGCAGTGCAGCAACCAGATGTAAAAGCCAAGTTTCTTTCTAGAAATCAAAGGAGAAGAAGAGAGGAAGTGGGTAATTATGACATACACACAACTCCAAACAAAAAATCAGTGCATTCAATCTAAGGCAGTTACTGTATATATC